CAAAAAAAAAAAAAAAAAGACTTCATCTTAAATCTACAAAAAAAAAAATTTGGCTGCATTCTCCCCTATGTTCCCACAGACCTGCCAGAGAGGGCTGGAGGGGACAGTGGTCTGGGTAGCAGTCCTGTGGCTCTATGACCATGAACCCACATCAGGGAGTACCCCTGTTACCAAGCAGACAGACGGCTGCTATCAATACCACTGCCGCTGCTTTCAATTCAAACTAAGGTTATTTTTTAAAGCACCCACGGCCTAGAGTTCAGTGCTCTGGGATCTCTCTCACTCACTCACACACAACACACCGCAGACTGGAGACCAGCAGGTACACTTGCAGGCCTTGCCATCTCCACTGCGCTACAGGTGGACCAATAGCAGGGAGCTGAGGAAGGCAAGACTGAGGGTGGGACAGGAAAAGAAACAGGATGTCAGAGGCTAGCTCAGTTCTGTAATTCATCCACTCAACCAGTGTATACTAGGGCTACGGCAGTAAATACAGAAAAAGAAAAAAGATAACACATGCAACGTTCTCAAACTTGAAAAGGCAACAGAATCAACTGGGGGCTTAATACAGACTGTGGGACCTACCCCCAAATTTTCACGTAAAGCCCTTATTATATAGTAAGCGCATAATAAAAATGGCATTATTGCTATAATGAAACGGTTCCCAAACTGGGAAAGCACTATTACAAATGTGAGAATTACTTGATGTCAATAATTTGGCGCTTATATAACACTAATGAAAAGTATCATAAAACACGAGAGAACGTAAAATAACAAATTACCTTCATTAAACAGAGTGTTAGCCTCTTCAAGGACCTCTGTTAATTTGTCACCAGCATTCAGTATGTCCTCCCGGTTTTCTATTTTAAAAAATACAAACTTTGGGAAACTTGTTACGCATTCACTAATAAGCAGTTCACAAGGTTATCACCTGCAACAGCAAAGCCAAGGCCCGGCCCCTGCGCCCTGAGTAATTACTTCCAACATCTTTATGTTTTTAACCAAAATGGCCCGGAAAAGGAAAAAGGCGACCCTATCCTTTATGCAGCATGAATTTTAAAACGAAACACTGGCTCCCTCTAACCTTAACACAAAGGGCTGGACTCCGGCTGCACCCTCTGAGTGCTCCATAACCGAGTGGTTCTCAAACTTTGCAAGCAACACACACCAACACCTGGAGGGCCACGCCATAGTTGGGGCGGGCCCACCCAGAGATTCGGATTCCGTGGGTCCGGGTGGGGTCCGAGAACGTGCATTTGACAGCTCTCGCGTGCCGCTGCCGCTGCGGGGCCAGGAGCCCACTCCGAGGACCGCCGGGCGCAATCAAAGAACGCGGAGTCCGCGTCTTGCCTCTCCCCACTGGCTGGCTGGGCTCAGGAGAGTCCGCGAACGGCTCTGGCCTCCAGCTTTTCCAGCCCGCCACTCGGGTACCCGCGCGCCCCCCGCCAAGGTCGCACGGCTCCAGCCACAGAACAGCTGTGGAAGCACTTTGTCAATAAATTAAGGAGCTGCGCGCGGCGAACGGCTGGCATCCGGCGCGTCTCTACTCGCGCCGCGCGG